GCAGTGGAGTAAAGTTAGGAGATGCAGTCCCATAGTAGACGGTGACCAACAATAGGTTCATACATCATTTTTTTATTTCAGGATACTGGAGCCCATATGCACCACTGGTTTGAAACAGGGTTTTCCAACTCTCCTATGTGGATCCTCGGTATCCACCAACCCGTTTAAAGCACCGGACATTAGATTTTTGTTCTCTCAATTTCCTAAACAACAGTAATGCCTCGAGAAGGCAGTGAGTAGGACTTCCCTAGCAGTAGCTGTATATGTGTGACCATGTGGGAGTATTTCGAGAGAGAGAGAGCTGATTCTCTCCACCCTCGGCCGTATCAGGGCATTTTGGTGGCAACTTATTTGGATCAGTTAATAACTCGTAATGCTTAAAACACTTTTAAAACTTCAAATATGAATATTCCACCTCCCCCCAAATCTAATTTATTCAATGTTTATTGGAACATTTCTATACATTGCAAGCATTGGCTTGTTTATATCTACATAGATTGACGATATTACGATGAGGAATGTAAGCGTTATTGCTATACGTTAGACCACAGAATATAAGAAAATAAAGATTGATCACCGACTGTGCAGAAACAATTTTTAGCAAAGCCAACCCTGAATGAACCAAAAGATGATATTGGTCATCGCTTAGTGACTTGTCGGTTGAAGATACAGCTCAATCTCATAAGAAATCACTTGAGGCTTGAATAGTTCGATGGTAAAGTCTGAGAGTGTGACGAAGACTGACATCGGAGAACCAGTTTCTTCAAGATTATAAGTACACATTGCTGATGTGTCTCAAATAACACAAAACGTAGGTTCAGGGTCAACTACCTCCAATCATCTAAATTACACAACATATTCCAATGAGTATTGAGAAGTTTAAACAAATGGCCGAATGGCCAATGGATCGATAGGATTCGATCCCCGGGTGGTGCGGGGTCGTGGATGCGCACTGCTGAGGAGTCCCATACTAGGACGAAACGGCCGTCCAGTGCTTCCAGGTTTTCAATGGTGGTCTAGCTTCAACTGACTCATGAGTTCAATCTGTGAGAACATAGTAAAAGAGCTATACATAGAAAAATGATTGAATGATTTATGTTGTTTAGTTCAACAACCGAATAGATTATCCAACAAGGTTGTTCTGATCATAGATCCGAATCGATAAAAATTTCAATAATGAAACATTTCCTACATCATCGATCAGGGATGTGAATTACTGATCACTACTTTAACTATACTTTCTATCAACAATGATGGTGGCGATATAAAGTTTAGACGACCATTAATTATGAAATTCCAGATATATCCAATTCCAATTATTCTAACATGAATTATAATTTACAAATTAGATCTCTTTTATTATTCTCTTTCAACTAGGTTAAAAGCAATTCATATTGTGATGTATGCTACTGATATCGATAGATATAAGTAGTATGTGTGATCATCAATCGAAAATGAAAGGCCTGGTGACAAAAGGTTAAGAAGATCAATGAAAAGAGAATCAGAACAGAGAATGATTAGTATGAAAACGAAGGAACAACAAAGTCTGAGACAATTGATTGACATATTGTAAATGAAGTCATTCACTATATGGTTCTCAAATTTTACTAATGGATTCTGTAATTTCGATTGTCTCGATTGGTATTCTCATTCACTAAAAAATGAACATAGTAGATAAAGTTGAAATCCCAGATACAAATTTTATACCCCCATCCCCCTCGTGGAATAACAAAATAATTTAAGGAACTGACCATAGAAACGATCGATAAATACACCATTTGTTTGATTTATTCAATCAAATACATGCTTATATGGGATACACATACATAGGGAGGAGTAATTGAACAATCTAATCAAAGGTAATGATATATGTGAATAGATGGCTTCAAAACTAATTAGTGTCAAATGATCAACATGGGATGTAGAATACCATGTTCATCGACAGTGAAATATATAACTGAAACGGGGCATAAAATTGACATTAATACTGTTAAGTTTGTCTTACATTGTTCCTACTCGCCCGCTTTTCACTCCTTTGTATATTGTTTTATACTACTTATTTACATTCAGTAAGCAGTTGTATTCCTAACAATCTCCACACTTACGTTGTAACGCAAGTTGTAGTGTAATATTCTGAAATGTTCACATATACTTATAACGTTGATTATATTTATCATTATAACCACTGTATCTTAATCGCTGTAGCGGTTATCCACAGTTTTGTGCATTTGTTTAAACGCAACAGTTTCCATAATGTTTTGCTTTTGGTTCGGGTTTTGATTGTTCGTAAACTGTTATCAAATTTAGACACAGCTATCAGCTGTCCTTTGTACTATCATATGTTGTAATTATTCTTTATGTTACTGTTACAGGAAGCGTTTTTGTTTTATATTTGAAGGACGCGTTTAAACGCCTCAGACACCTCACAAGTTGAGGTTTGTAACTAAATTTTGTGTATTATTTAATAAAGAACCGCTATTGTGGACAAATCGTTGTTTTTGGAAACTTCGGTTTTGCGCGTATCTCAATCGTGTGACTTGGACGCTTCGATAGATCTAACAAATACAGTTTTAAAAATGCTGTATAGAAATTGTTAAGGATGAATTCTCAGGTATATTGAAGCCTTGGCTATTCATAAATTCAAAGTTCTCCTTGAATTTATCCTGGTAATCCTTAAATAATTTAATGGCTTATGGTAATGTGACAGATTCTTATTCTTTCTATATGATGTAAAAAAATGTCTCTCTCTCCTTTGTTACCTTGTTTACTTTAACCTTCGTTTTAATTGATCTTCATTAATCTTCATATAAAATGTCTTGAATTGTATATGTATGACTAGATTGTTTGAAATATATAGCGCAAATACATGACATTTTTCAAATGAAATCCCGCTCGCGGGATCGTGGATGCGCACTGCTGAGGAGTCCCACAATAGGACGAAACGGCCGTCCAGTGCTTCCAGGTACTCAATTGTGATGGTCTAACATCAATCGGTTCATGATCTCAATCAAAAACTTAATAATCTCCACAACCCCTATACTAGTAATCAACATGTGCTCACTAGTGACTAGCTTCGTGAGGGAATTCTCGGAGTTCTAGTGAGAAGCCGTGACCAGTGGAGCTAATCCTTGTCGGGTAGAGACAGGTATCTACCTCAGTACAACGGAAGTTGGTTGCGCAATTTCGTGGATTGGTCGATGTTAGAAACTGTCACCATTGGATGCCGGCTCAGTGGTCCAGTTGGTTAAGCGTTCGCGCGCGAGACCGAAGGCCCTGGGTTCGAATCCCGCTCGCGGGATCGTGGATGCGCACTGCTGAGGAGTCCCACAATAGGACGAAACGGCCGTCCAGTGCTTCCAGGTATTCAATTGTGATGGTCTAACGTCAATCGGTTCATGATCTCAATCTGAAATGCATTTTCACTGATTGAAATCGTAAGTCAACTGAAGCCAGACCACCATGGAAAATCTGGAAGCACTGGACGACCGTTTCGTCCTAGATGGTCAAGCGCCTGGCGTGAGACTGATAGGTCTTGGGTTCGAATCTCGCGGGGTGCGGGATCGTGGATACCCACTGCTGTGGAGTCCCATACCAGGACGAAACGGCCATCCAGTGCTTCCAGGTTTTCCATGGTGGTCTAGCTTCAATTGACTCATGATTTCGATCAGTGAAAATTTCTAAAATCTCCATAAAACCCCTTCTGAGAACTACATTTTTTTCATATTGCTCTATCGAAATTTATCAAAGGGACTAATTACTTTAAAATGATAAGATATATACATAAACATATTAGAATCAAATTGAAATAGTTCTTGTTTAATAGTTGAATTCATGAGTTAAGTGAAGGTAGACCACTATGGGAAATCTGGAAGCACTGAAACAGTTACAGTATTTAAATTCACTAGGTGTTGGGTTTACTTGTGTTTTCCTATTGATATTTAGGATCGCAATTGATCAGTCTCTTATTGGCATATGTGAGGATTGCCTCGATATTGACTTGATTCACAAGCATTATAGGTAAATATAGAATAGTGGCTAGCAGTGGAATCCAAGATGCGCATTTTGTCTATCCAGCTGACAAGTCCCAAATAGGACGAAACGCGCATCAAACTGGGTTCCACTGCTAGCCACTATTTTATTTTATTTTAACACATAGATATTGGTACAAGGGGGCACCAAATACATATGCGCCACACAAATCTCATTCGATATGTGTGAGGGCTGTGATACTAACCGGGTGCCCAAACTGAAAAAAGTGGTTTTCTTAGGGGGCCACACCTGGAGCCTTCGACCTAAAGGTACAATCCACAATGCAGTGGAGCATCGTAAGGAGATGTAGTCCCATAGTAGCCGGTGACCAACGATTGGTTCATACGCCATGTTTTCCTTCAGGATTCTGGAGCCTATGTGCACCAGTGGTTTGGAACCAGGGTTTTCCAACTCCCCTAAATGGACTCTCCATGTACACCAACCCGGTTAAAGCGCCGGACATTCGCTTTTCGTCTTCTCCATTTCGTAAACAACACCACCGCTACGAGAAGGCAATGAGTAGGACTTCTCTGGCAGATGCTATATACGCTTGGCCATATGAAAGCATTTCGAGAGGGAGAGCGGACTCTCATCACTCTCAGCCGTACCAGGGTATTTGGGGGCTGCCACTATCTATCTTTGCTTATAGTCACAATATTTGTCTATTATTGATAAATCACAAATCTTAATCATAGAATATCATCTTTATATTATTAAAATTAGTTACCTAATAGTATAAGTTAAGTTTAAATACAGATTTTCTATACTGTAAATAAATGAAAATGTTTTAGGGAAAAATTGGAATATATTAACTTGATCAAAGACGATGATGTTCTTACTACACTCGAACTTGCGTCCATAATGAAAACAGTCAATCCATTGATCAATCAATCACTCATTCATTCACTTACTCAAACCCATTCATACATGAAATAAATGAATAATGAAATAGTAATACATAATGTAACAGTTTATTGTAATTCAGAATCAGTTACTTCTTCTGTTTGATCATCATCATCATCATGATCACGATCAGTAATATCTGTCAATAAAAAGGAAAAAAAACATAAAAATAGTGAGATTGTATTTTCATCATATGAGTTATATAAAACTACCAACTAATATTACGTTTGAGTTCTACCATCTGATCCAGTTATCATGGACACTTTCTATACATATATCAAATTTATCATGTAAACTAGAAGCCTGAATATATAGGTTGAAATGTTGAATAAGTGTGAAAGAGACTTCCTTTAATAACATGTTTTGTTGACAGTATGTGAAAGAAAATACGTGATATAAGCAATGATAGATAGTGGCTAACATTGGAATCCAGAATGCACGTTTCGTCCTCTAGGTGGATCCTCTGTATCTACCATCCCGGATAAAGCACCAGATATTCACTTTTCGTCCTCTCAATTTCGTAAACAACACCTATGTATCGAGAAGGCACTGAGTAGGACCTTCCTGGCAGTGGTTGTATGCATGTGGCCGTGTTAGACCATTTCGAGAGAGCGGCTCTCCCCACTCTCGGCCGTACCAGGGCATTTGTCCAGAAAGACAATTACGTTTCAATATTAAACCATTCACCCTGTAATATATGCATATAAATACTAAATCAAGGATTCGGCATACTTTAAGTGAAACTCACTAGTTCATCAACATATTTGAAATTTATTATACAAAGTACCTCAGTATCAAATCATTTTCTTATATTAATGTCTTGTTAAAAGTCATTTGAAAAATCAGTAACTGAGGGAAATTTCAAATAGTAACTAAACAATCAAAATTAGTAAACACATCATTAATAGAAATTGAACACTGACTGACTGACTGACTGATTGATTAACTCCACTCACTCACTCACTCACTCACTCACTCACTCACTCACTTACTCACTCACTCACTCACTCACTCACTCACTCACTCACTCACGCATACTCATTTACTTACCTTCTAATGGTGTTTCATTAATATCTTGTTTAATTTGTGATTCAAAAGTGATTTCATCATCAGTTTCATTATCAAATTTTAATGTACTTTGTTCACCGTCATCATCATCATCTACGTCTCCTTGGTTTATTGATTCTTTGACATAATTCTCTGAATCACTTTGCAATTGGTTTCTATCCTGAACCTCTATATCATCATCATTATTATTAGCTTCAATTTCATTAATGTTATTCATATCTATATCGTTATTAATCATTTTGTCATCTGAGTGATGTTCATTATTCTTCGATTCTGTAGTGAGATCTGAAGTTTCTTCCTCATTTTTAGTTTCTAATGAAGCTTCATTTTCTTCTAATTGACTCAAATTGATTATTTTATTGTTTTCCATAGATTCCTTATTAAGAAAATTTGAAATATTTAGGGAAAAAATACATAAGAATTATTGTATAAATCCATTTTTACCAGTATAGGGTTGTGGAGATTATTAAGTTTTTTTGATCAAGATCATGAACCTATTGATATAAGATCACCATTGGAAACCTGGAAGCACTAGACGGCCGTTTCGTCCTAGTATGAGACTCCTTAGCAGTGCGTATTCACGATCCCGCTCACGGGATTCAAACCTTGGACCTTCGGTCTCGCACGCGAACAATTAATCTATGGATCACTGAGCCGGCTTGCATTCAATGGTAAAAATAGTTAAATTCAACCAATCCACGAAATTGTGCGACCATCTTCCATTGTACTGAGGTAGATACCTGTCTTTATCCGACACGGATTAATTTCACTGTTCACGGCTTCTCACTAGAACTCCGAGAATTCCCTCACGAATCTAGTCACTAGTGAGCACACAGTAATTATCTGTGTGGGGTTGTGGAAATTATTAAATTTTTTTGATTGAGATCATGAACCGATTGATGTTAGATTATCATTGAAAACCTGAAAGCACTGGACGGATTTATTATCAAGCTGTACATTTGTTTGTTTTGGCTGTTTTAATCTTCTCAATAATATTTGAGTTTGTACTTGATCAGTCTCTCTTTGGCATATGTGTATCCTATGCAGATTACCTAGATACTACCAGTAATTCACAAGCATTATAAAGAGACTGATCAATTTCAGTCATGAACATCAATGAAAAGATTGAACACAACTAATACAGATAAATTAAACTTCATCCTGTTGCAAAAGCTACTAGATGTCTAGACACAGTAACTACGAGGATAACACGTTGGTGTTTGGAGTGAACGAGTTACCATGAACTCTGGGATGCAAGTACATCTGGCTGACAAATCTCACGTAACATTATTACATAAAGAAAAAACCATCAAGATGAATAGCAAGAATGATCGAATTGTTGAACATTGACAGAAGCTAGCGATGCAAAATATTAAGTGTTAATTCAGTGAGCAGAAGGTCAGGCGTTTGTCACATGGCATGTACTGTAAACAGTACGATTTACTGTTTCCTAGGATTGCAATGGTTATCTAACAAAGGTTAGTTTGTGATGTGGAATCATATGTCTAACGCGGTTTCTGAAAATAACTTCTAATCAGATACATACTACACGATTGAGAATTTGTCCTTTGCTCAACGTTCTCTCATACTTCTCAAGTGAAATCACTGAATCTGTTCCACTTTACGTCACAGTGACATTTATATTTAGTGACTTCATTGTAGGGGTTTGATAAGTTATTAAAAAATGTGAACTTTTAATTAATTTCAGAATGAATATCAACACAAGGATGTAAATGCATTCATGTGACAAGCCACTTGTTCAGCTTTAGTTAGTATATTTCATGCATTAGGAATGTATAATGTGTAAATAGTCAGCTATAAGTAACGTAAAATCTGTCGGATATGTTCATCAGTTCAAGTCCCTACACCGTTCTAAAATGCTAGAAGTAATAACTGTATTGCTTGTATTAGAAAGCATTAGGTATTAGGAATATGACCAGGGAAGAAAGAGTGTGTGAATGGGTCAAAACGTAAATGATTATTGTAAAGCTCAAGATTTAAAGGAAGTTTAATGAGTCTGTACGATTAATACCAATTTTGAGTTATATCAATCAACATTTCAAGCTATTGGTCATTATCAACTTGTGAAACACGACCAGATAGTTCATACTTACCTACACGGTTCAGTTCAATAGTCAGTTACTTCATGGAATGACGCCAAGGTTTCGGTTTAGCCCACTATCTTTCTTCCAACTTACCCCTACTTCGATAACCATCGCACGTCAAGATAACCGATGGTTATGACATTTGTAATACATGCCTCAGTTGATGAAGATTCATAACCTCATCAGTTGATATGCCATTTCCGCATAGTACTCTATCTCTAAACTCAGCACATATATGAGCAATGCGTCAAAGTCGTCTATGATCAGATGCTAGTAATCAACAAATGACCTCTTTTTTTAACGTCTAAATCTTACAAACATAGAACAGAACTTTGTGAACATATTATAATATGAGCAGAAAATGGATTGGTAATGAATCAGTATGGAGGGTTTGTGGAGATTGTGGAGTTTTGTTAGTTTAAATCATGAAATAGTCTTAGCTAGACCCCCACTGAAGACCTGTAGGTATTGGAGGGCTGTTTTGTCTCAGTGTGAGACTCCTCATCAGCGAACAATCACAAACCCACCATAAAGTATTGAACATAGGACTTTCGGTCTTGTTTGAGAACGTCTAATGTTAACCTGATATTCGATGGTGTTAATGTCTAACTTTAATCATTTCGTGATGTTTCCCAACCCTCCTTTACTGTTCGAAGTTGGTAACGGTATTTCACGATGCAGGCATTCGTAAGTAAAATGAAAGGCCCTTGAATAAATTCCTTGATCCCGGAGTCGTAGATGTGCAATACTGAAGATTCGCGTACTAAAACGAAATGGATGTCTAGTGCTTCCGTGTTTCTAGTGATGGCTTAAAGTGTTCTGACATATAATTTTCAAATTATATACTTTTTTCGGACAATGACAAATTGTCAAACCTATCTATGTTTGCAAACGTTTACATTTGATTACTGAATTTCATAGAACTGGTTATATTTTGTCTAGAAATAAAACATTCAAAGCAATAAGAGTTAGTCAATCAATGTGACACCTAGTATTAATATCTATGGGGTTTAAGCTAGCAAACCAAATTAACCCATCGAAGTGAAACTGACAAGGGTTTACAAAAAACAGTAGTAGCAGTATCAATTAGTAGTATGAAAGCTTAAACATGAGAATATGCTTCAAAGTATGGGTGTAAAATGAGGGAATAACAAATAATAAAACTTAATTTAAACTTGAAATCAACGTGAGTAAGATTGGATGCATGAGACAATTTTGAAGAGAATAAAAAACTCTATACGAACGGAAACTTATATGTCAATTCTCAACCATGTAATAGCCGTGACCAATGGAGTTCAACCAGGTCTGTTGTGAAACAGTAAATCATGGGAGACAATGGTGGACGGTGGCGCAATTTCGTGGATTGGTTGAATTTAGAATCAACACCGTTGGATGCCGGCCGGCTCAGTGGTCTAGTGGTTAGGCGCTCGCGCGCAAGACTGATAGGTCCTAGGTTCGAATCTCGCGAGGTGGGATCGTGGATGCGCACTACTGAGGAGTCTCACAGTAGGAAGAAACGGCTATCCAGTGCTTCCAGGTTTCCATGGCAGTCTAGCTTCGATTGACTCATAAATTCAACTATTAAATTAATAACATTTTGATATATTCAGATTGTAGCTAGCAATAAAATCCAGGACAAGTATTTCTTCCTATTTAGGATTAGCACTAAGATTGTTATTTAGATAGACTGTCCAAAAACGTACTTTTATTTCAATATCTCTTATTCTTATATAATTTTTTAAACAGCGACCCAAATAATCGATTGGATCCACAGGCCGTTTAATTAGGACTTCTGCTATATACTGCCGTAAAACTGATCCAACACATTCAATCAAATATGAAGTTTCTGGTCCTCGTAGTTCTCCACTTCCACTACTAAAACTAAAATAAAAACAAACCCAAGACTATAGTTCACATCATGGAGTCAGTTCAGATAAACAACTATTAAAAATCAATGAGTAAAAGATAGTTTTTTTCTTATCCTGCTTTATGACTCCACAGAAATGTGAACGCAAAAAGCCTCAACAAGGATTTAAGGAAGTGAACAATGTACTGAAACCTTTTATGTTAGGAACGATAGTTTCCAGGGAAGTAAACCGTTCTTATAAGCATACAAACTATAATAAATATTTGATACAATAGGATACATACTTTTTGTTTATTATTGGTTTATCAGGAATACTAATGTATTTCATTTATTTATTTTACTGTTGACAATATCAATAGTACATATTTTAAAGAAATTCTTTAGTTTCCTTTCAATCATCATGATTAGATGTGAAGTATTTGGATCCTTTGTACTTGTTGAATGCTTGATTTCAAATTCCAAATACAGTACATTCGTTCGTGCTTATCTGGTACTTCTTGATCCAATTGCGTTATTTCTGGGATTCTTAGTTCGTACTAAAATCAAATACTCCTAATCATCACAATAAATCAAAGCGTATCTGATTGCTTATCAACAATAATAATCGGTCGACTGTGACAAATTCGTAATTTTCAGTATCAAAGATCAGGACAATCTACTAATATTCAATAATAGAGGCTACCTCTTATACATTTTAAACATATTTTTTGTGACAAAAACACATAAATTATTTTCAGAGTACAATGTAATTCGAGGAAGGACTTTCCCAATTCATTAAGAAGTTAGTCTTTTTTGGACTAAAAGACGGAAAATAAAAATGAATTAAGGGATAAAAACAACAATCAGATTGTATGAAACTTCTTCCCCAACTTTTGTCGTCATTATTTCATTTCGAGTGCTGTTATCATCACAGTAACTTACTCAGTGTCCATAATTGTGACTTTCAGGTTTATGTTGTGTTCTTGGAAAGTGTGAAGGGCAACGTATGGGAGAATCTGAACGAAAAAAGAACGATAAGAAAGTATACACTGAGGGATATAATGGTGAGGTATTCATTCCGAACGCATGTACAGATTTTACCATAGTCATGCCATTTTTAGTTAACTGTATACAAAATTAGTAAACGTCGTTACACTTCAACCTTACCATCACATTTTTTGATAGCAAAGAGTAATGTTATCCCTTTTTATTTGCTTCAGAATATCAATAACATAAGCGAACAGGATTCGTGGACATTCAGCTTCCAAAAGGTTTTTTTGCACAAAATATTTCGTTTATTTTAATAAACAATTACATTTTTAACAAGAAAACCTTATTTTTATCAAAAATAACATAGTGGAAGATAAGCAAAGCGTATAAGAGAAAGACTACTTTCATAACGCTTAGTAACTTGACGACGTAAGTTCGTTCGATAAAACAAATTTTCGACCTAGTGTGGACGATGAATTATTTATAACCAAAAGATGATTTTCAGTGTAATGGATATGGTAAACAATAAAGCTTTAACACAGACCGAAGTTACAGAACGTGATTTCTGTCTAATTTATCAGAGTCCTTTATGCGATATTACTTGTGAAAATACCTGAAGTAGTTCGTATATTCCAATTTGATGCAGGAAAATTAGGTCGTTTGTGCAGTTACTGAAAATGATCCACCAAAATGGTGTACCTGACAGGCGTTTTGTCAAAAACACAATAACAGTAAACGTCTTGGGATTTTCAATCATGAATTCAGATTTTTCCTAAAGTCTGGTAAGATTTAAGGTGAATTTAGCATACGTTGTGGTTTGTGAACCTTCTTGCCATGACCTCGGAGATTATTAGTGCTGGAGGGAACAAATAGATAAGACATATTAACACCCAAATCATAATTGAAGATACGAAATGACAGTATAAGGTCACCTTGTGTCCTACGATACCACAAGTGGAAAAGGGTCAGACACATTAACGCTTTTGCGTAACTATCTCAAAATTCACCTACCTCTGGCGAATTTCAACCCAAAGTTACGAGTAAAGACACTGAATGCATCTTTATTTAGTAAGAAAAGCTATCGACAACAATTGTTGTTAATGTTGACTAATCATGATTAGTGTCGCAGCATTAACACAAGCGTAATCGAAAGGAGAAGCTGGTAGCATAAAGTTTCAAACGCTTACTTTCAGCTGTTTGTGTCCAGCCACAAAGTACTTTATTTACTGCGGTGTACGAAGAGTAGTGAGTAAGGAGGACAGGAATAAAGAGAAGAGAACGAAGATGGAGGTCAGCTGATGATTAAGCAAGCACACGCAATGCACTTACATTTTATAACTAAAAGCAATCGACAACAAACAGAAATAACACAAGCCTCAAATTAGGACAGTTTTGTTATCGAAACTAGAAGCAGATTGTCCAACTCGTTATTGTACTTCACTTTTGAGCGCAGCGGTTACATTTTGTAGTCAATGCCAACACTGAACCTGTTGAACAATGGTCACTTATTTACATTCATTATTATTATTGTTGTTGTTATATTAAACAATATATAATATCTTTGTCACGAGCTTGTGTAAAGTGATGACTTATGAGTGCCCACTTCCTGTCGTTTTAGTGAGCATCCACGTCTTGTCTTTGAGTAGGGTTTTTGGATATCAGCTGCTTTCACATTACCATTGTGACGGTAAATAAATCCCAAAAATAAATAGCTCTGTACTTCTTCGACATTCGATTCCGAGCACATGAGCTTTAATGTACTCACCTAGCTGAAGGCGCCTGGTCATGCATCCGCATCAGATCACGAGGTTGGTTGTATGCTATTTGGAAAATATTTAGTGATAATTCGAGTGGTAAGTGAAGAAGATTGTTACACGAAATAATTGAATAAGTGTGTTAAGTAATTTGTTATTCACACAGTGAGAGAAGGCCGAATCGAAAGAATAAGAGCGGAAACGAAGATGGCAATAGGCGAAATAGAAAGCAGTCACTGATATGAGGCGATGATAACCGTCGTAAATTATGAGACCTGACATATGCAGTTTTTTTCAGTGGACAGATAGAAACTTGTAGGTGAGTGTGTGTTTGCTATATCCCATCTTGAAAGTATCCACTGATGGTTTGGTGGTCACTGCGTTTGGAAGAGCGTACCAATCGGGAGGAACCCTTGATGAAAGTGTCGGGGTACTTGCGACGCGTTATTGTCGTGTTCTGGAAGTATGCTCGTGTTGGAGTGACTTGAAGTAATTGATATGTTATCTGCCATTATCAGGTCACGTCCTATTCTCCTTTAGCTCGGTAATATTAATCTAAAGTGTTGGGGTGTGTCTGTAAGATTTTGTATTAGCACTTCCACCTTCTTAGTTCCTTGCCTCTATACCTGGTCTAAGGGTTTTTTTCGGAGAGTGGGTGCAACGACATTTTGGACTTCAAGGTGGATCTGTGTGTTTTACAAAGAAATAGAGATAACTTCCGAATGATTAAGTCGAATTGTCTTCTTATAAAGTGATGATTTGCGTCTACTTCGCCTAAACCCCTCATGTAGTTCAAATTGATGTCTAGTTTGTCGGTGGTTAAAAACCCGAGATCACTTTCTGAGAACACAACTGTAGCGTATTTTTATAAATGACATAACCTTTTACACAAAATGAAGCAAAATATCCATGACATGACATTTAAACAGGTCACATTTTAACCTGTTGCCTACAGTTCATTCCTGTTTTGTTGTAAGGTACTTCAGAAACTTAGGCGTATTCTTTTCGCTTTCGATGGAGCTCAAGATTTCGTATCGTTTGTCGATCTGATTTTATCCCAGTGGTCGACGTTGGAGATCAGAAAGAAAGGTGAACTTATGGTAGTTCAATGTCAACCTCCTGATGTTAAAGCCCTACAACTCCAGTGCGCTGGATTTGCTTGGTGTGAAACGTACCGTTCTCTAGGTAGTTTCGGAGACTAGATAGAAGCGAGTCCTTAAAACCCATGTTTGCAGGCTTCATTATGAGAAGTACGTGCACCACTATGTCGAAGGCTATTATAAATTAAGGGAATATTACAAGGAGCGGTATCTTTTGCTCCTTGCAGGTTGTCGGGCTGTCCCGTACTACAAAAATCTCAGACATACAGGATAAATTTTTCACGAAGCTTTGTTGAATTTAACGCAGGACGTTATTTTTGTCGTCGACAGAATTTAGAGTGATGAGAATGGTTTGCAGGTAGTCTGAATCTCTCCTACCTTTTTTGAAGCATGGAAAAGGAATAGCTTGTTTCCATTCTTTGAGATATGAATCTATTGAGTATCTGAACATACCACACATCTCTTTGCTTTTAGCTCCAGCTCGTTATTTTAGGATTTTAGACGGCTGTTTTCGCATCCTGCAGAGAGGGAGTTAGGTGGGTATTCTGCAGGCTTTCAGTCAATACTGTTGTCCAAGAAAGGTCCGCATTTGGAGAACCCCGATTTGGTTACTCAACGAAGTTTACATTGTCTCTAAGTTGGTAAGATTTTGACCAATAAGGAATTATGGAGAACAGAACCTCTTCGTTTGTAGATTTCCGTTTAGTTATGAACTTCTATTGGGTTAGCTTATATTTTAGCTCTCAGCTTGGACTGGAAAGGTCTCCTGTGGATTCGAACATTTGGCCTCTATCTGTTTATCAGTACAAAGCAAAAACTAAGGTTGGGACCCTCTAAGGCAGTTTTCCATTTGTGCCAGGCACCAGTTTTGAACCGTAGTAGGCGTTCTGTGTCTCGGTTAACGTAGTGTGTTGTAGTCCTGGATGTGCATTTGGCATGAGGTATGTCATGAACTGAACAGTATCTCACTTTATCTTTGGTGGCAATCCACTGTTATATTCCACCACTCTTGTGACTATGGAGTGTGTTGAAAATGCTCTCTGAATTCATACAGTTTGCTCTGGTATAACAAATGTAGTAGGCACTCTTGTTGAACATGACAGTTCCACGGTCTCTACTCCCTACCAGTGCTTCGGAATTTGCATCTTCGACCAGAATCTGATCATAAGTTAGCAAATAGTCTAATTTTGAACTTTTAACCTCTTTACAGAACATCTAATATATAAAAAATCTTATCTATTTGTGAAGTCATATGCATAAAGTGTTTTCCTTGTTTTTCCAAATGCTTGTAAGGAACGAAATTTAGTTTCGATATAGCTTCAGTAGATCAACTACGCTGACGGAAGTTTAAATTCATCTGCATTTAGGAACACTCTGATATAATTTTGAAATGTTACTCAACAAGTAGCCGTTTAGATATCCGGTTTCCATCGCTCTCAGAAAATCCGATTGGATTGTGGTTAACAAATGCATGCTCAAAATCAAATCCGTGAAGAACCTCGCTACAGACAAAGTTGAACATTTCGCCAGTTTCTTGTGATCAGCTGCGGTTGGTGTGATATCAGCTCCCATTAAATATAACCTTTAGATTGTAATCGTCAGCTAAATGGATATCTAAAAGCACATTTGAAAAATTTAAGACAGTCTTAGATCCATACAGTATCTCATAATGGGCATTAATGCCACGGATTTTTCTATGTGACTTGCTAGCACAGAGTAGCACCAGTTAGGATATTATGTGCGATAAAGAGGTTGATCAATTTCTTCGTTTTATAAAAGCTTCTTGACCTATTGGAACGATGATTAAGGAAAAGGATAGCCTCTGTACTAATTTATGAGTTGTCATTGCACGTCTTATTGTATAGTTATCGAGTGATTAGACTGCTACATTTATGTATTCAGTATTTTGCAGAAGTCGTAGCACTTCTATGTGTATCAGCCAATAAAAATGGGTAATGAAGAGGTTTCGATCCACAAAAAGTTATTTTGTAAATCAAGCTTTCCATCAGCCGCTTGAAAACAATATACCGCTTATTGTTATTCATCATAAAGTTTTTACTAAAAGTACTTCCATTTTATCAGTATCGTCGGTGAAGCACAACTTCGTATAAAATATGGGGTA